GCGGGTCCACCACTGGAACAATCTGTATGGGCAATGCCCCCAGCAGGTGGGAGTGCAGCCCCGCACTCCAATTTGGATTGGAGTGTGGGCCCACACTCCCCTTCTGAGGGGGAGTGTGGGAGTTTGGATATGTACTTTTATATACATACTGGGCTATCCCATAGGACCCAGGCCTGGGTCCTATGGGATAGCCCAGGGGCTTGAGGCCGTTGAAAATAAAAATAAAAAAGTCTTTAGGGCGGAACCCCTCCCAGCCCGCGAATGGCTATGGAGTCTTGAGGCCGGGAGGGTTCCTCCCGGCGAGCCGTTTTTTAAACCAGCTCGTCGGAAGGGATTCCTTCCGACAAGCTGGGCTGTGTACCACCTCGTCGGGAGGGGTTCCTCCCGGCGAGCCAGCTTTTAAGCCAGCTCGTCGGAAGGAATCCCTTCCGATGAGCTGGTCTGTGTACCACCTCGTCGGGAGGGGTTCCTCCCGGCAAGCTGGGCTTTAAACCAGCTCGTTTATGAAATCACTAAAACTCTCAAAAGCTATAAGATGATCGAATTGCCTGAAGTGAATTCCTTTTCTCTGCTCTCATCATTTCAATCACTCACTGACTCGCTTCTTTCTATGGTTCTCGAAACAAACAGGTCGATCTTTTAAAACTTGGCCCAATTAGTCTTGAGATATTTGATTCGGTTGCCGATTACCTCGTACTGCTCAAATCAATCTTCGATTTCGATAGTATCAAAGCTTACCTCCACGGTAGCCCACCGCCGTTGAAGGTACTATTCGACGGGATGCACGGTGTCACGGGTCGTTATGGTGGACAAGCTATCTTTGTCAAATCCCTTGGTCTCTCGGCCGACTCGATCCAGAATTGCGTATCCAGTCCTGACTTTAATGGCGGACATCCCGATCCCAACTTGACGTACGCCCACGAGTTGGTGGCCCGGGTCGATAAGGAGAACATAGGCTTTGGGGCGGCCTCAGATGGAGATGGGGATCAAAACATGATCTACGGGAAGGATGCATTTGTCACCCCGAGTGATAGTGTGGCTATTATCGCCGATTGGGCCCAGGAATCCATCCCTTACTTCAAAGACGGCATTAAAGGATTGGCGCGTAGTATGCCTACCAGTGGCGCTATCGATCTGGTTGCTAAAGCAAAAAAACTTGAAGTGTTTGAAGTGCCAACCGGATGGAAGTTTTTTGGCAATTTGGTAAGTCACGACAGTCTGCTGAAAGCTTAATCTTACAACCAAAACACCATAGCTGACAACCTTCCATGTTGTAATTTTCTACGTGCCCAGATGGATGCCGGTCGATTATCTATCTGCGGGGAAGAATCGTTTGGAACCGGTTCAGATCACATTCGAGAGAAGGATGGACTGTGGGCAGTCGTCGCGTGGCTTTCGATCCTTGCCGCTGCCGAGAAACGAGGAATCAAGAACGGGATCAAAGGTGTGCTCCAAGACCACTACAAGAAATACGGGCGAAGTTTTTTCTCGCGTTACGATTACAAAGAAGTGGAATTGGCTGGTGCATCAAAGATGATGGCACACATCGAGTCGGCCTTTGGGAAGGGTGATTTTATCGGCAGTTCGTTGAGCTCGGAGACTAGCAGTACGAGCTTCAAAGTCAAAGAAGCCGGTAACTTCAGCTACACCGACCCGATCGATAAGAGCGTCTCCAAGGGACAAGGACTTTTTGTCAAGTTTGCAGACGGAAGTAGGATTGTCTATCGCTTGAGTGGAACCGGAAGCGCCGGTGCGACGATCACCAGCTCATCGGAAGGAATCCCTTCCGACGAGCTGGTTTAAAACCCAGAAGCTGGCTCGCCGGGAGGAAGGAACCCCTCCCGACGAGGTGGTACACAGCCCAGCTCGTCGGAAGGAATCCCTTCCGACGAGCTGGTTTGAAAACCGGCTCGCCGGGAGGAACCCTCCCGGCCTCAAGACTCCATAGCCATTCGCGGGCTGGGAGGGGTTCCGACCTAAAGACTTTTTTTTTTATTTTCAACGGCCTCAGGCCCCTGGGCTATCCCATAGGACCCAGGCCTGGGTCCTATAGGATAGCCCAGTATGTATATAAAAGTACATATCCAAACTCCCACACTCCCCTCAGAAGGGGAGTGTGGGCCCACACTCCAATCAAAATTGGAGTGCAGGTCTGCACTCCAACCTGCTGGGGGACTGCCCCTGCAGATTGTTGGAGTGTGGACCCGCACTCCAATTTTGATTGGAGTGCGGTCCCACACTCCCTTCAGAGAAGGGAGTGTTGGAGTGTGTGTGCAAAGGGGGGCGGAGTGTGGTTATCACTCACCGCTAACCCCCGACCCCAACAGCGCCATGGGGACATCACACCAAATAATAGTATTTTTGACGGATCCTTTAAAAATTTTCCCACATAAATATGTACAAAACACTATAGTACATACCCAACCCAAAGGAGAATGTGTCATCATTTTCTGGTGACCAACAATTGGGGTCTTCTCTGGGCTTCCGTAGAAACGTCAGAGTCCTCCTGGGATAGTCTTTGGTAATGAGTACATATGATGGGAAAGGAAAAGAACCTGTACATCACCTTACACCCCTGTCAAAGCATTTTGCGGGAGCCTTCCCACAGCCCAAGAGGGTTTATTCAACTGGTTTGAAGAAATGTCTCCTCTTATAAGAACTGATTGTGGTGAGGTGACTCAAAACACCTTGTCTTTACATCAGAAGAGTCGGAACACAAAACCAATCTTACTGCTCCTCCTACTCCGTCACACAACTTCTTTGCATCCAAGACTCACCCACAGCACCATTATCACTACAACCCGCACCCAGATAACGCTCGAGTTGTGAGGTGCCGAGGTTTCCATCCTCCTCATCAAATGCAAAAGGCATGCCTTGTTGTGAGATGGAAACTGATGACACAGGAGATGAACTTCCAATTTGCACTGGGGTGACCTGTTGTAAGTCCTGCTCCTCACAGGCTTACACAAACCTGTCACGAGATTACATAAGCCATTTCCGCTTGTATTTAGTCTCATCTATCCCCTTTACCTAGACAGCAGAGATCTTTCTCTCCTGTCTAGGTAAGTACCTCATTGTTTCTCCTTCTCTTCTCATTTTCATTTCCTCACCTTTCTTCACTTGTAGATACTAACGAGAGATCTTTCTCTCCTGTCTAGACTGAAATAAAAGACACGTTGGTACTAGAATCTTCTCCGTGGACGCTATTGAGCTCCTTTTCTAGTGCCTCTCCGACAGACAGTGAAGGACTCGACGGAGTCCTTACACCTGTGTGGTGGAGTACTAGTCTTCCAATCATGTGCCTGGAGAGTGATAACAACACTCCTCCCCCCTTTGCACACTCACTCCCACACTCCCTTCTCTGAAGGGATTGTGGGACCGCACTCCCTTCTCTGAAGGGATTGTGGGACCGCACTCCAATGATCTGCAGGGGCAGTCCCCCAGAAGGTTGGTGTGCAGACCCGCACTCCAATTTTGATTGGAGTGTGAGGCTGCACACCAACATATAAGCGAGGCAGGCTG